AAACCCACTAGCATCTCGCGAGCTTCGTCTGGAACCAACATGGCTGTACTGAAGTCAGTGTTTAGGAACTTAAAAAGTGTTGCAATAACCAACTAGAGAACGTCTGAAACCCAAAAAGAGTAGGAAATCTTCCGGCTTCTATATCTCCTTCTAGTCTCTTCGTACAGAAGAGCAGCAAGAAATCCAAAAACCTCCGTTGACCAGTATTACCACACACAGCGTACCCCTCCGCCTCCGCCGGCCTCCCTGTCACGTGGAAGCAAGTTTACGTGCCCGTCACGTGGGCCGCTACTGAGCGAGCGCGCGCCCGTCGCCCTCCCGATAGCCCTCCCCGCCCCCCTATCGCCCGCGCACACGTGCGCGCGCACCCCCGCCCCACGTGGGGGCTTCGTAGCCGCCGCCGTCGTGTCGCCAGCCCACCCCCTCCCGGTACTTTGCTCCAAATGCAGGTTCCCGGAGTCGATTGTTCCCCCACCACCGTCCCCTCCTTCATTCTCCCTCCCCCACGTCTGGGCCCCACCACGTGCCCCGGGCGCTCGCTCACCTTTCGCGCGGGACTGAGCACCGTGGGCCACTTGGGGACGTGCCGCAGCCGTGGCCGCTCTCTGCCTCCGCCACGGCACTTGGTCGGGTGGTCGCCGCCGCAGGAAGCTCAACAGCGGCGCCGCGGCGCTTCCAGGTGGGTCCCCGCCTCCCGGTCCCTGCCACTTCCCGCAGCATCAGGGGCTCCTTCCGGTCCCCTCCTTTCTCCTCGTCGTCGGGACGGGCGGGCGGCGGCGGCGGCTGCAGGCGCGCTCACTACACCGCCTGCTGGTAACCGCGGCCCGTGCAGCGCCCCAGGGCCGGGGGCCGCCGAGACCCACCCCCGCGGCCCGCCCCTGCCGCTGGGCGAAGAAGGTTGGCCTTCCGAGGGCAGGGTGCAGTCCATCCCGAGCGGCGGTCTGCCCCGGCCCTACCAGCGCTGGAAAGGCGTCCCCGGCGCTCCGCCGCTGCAAATCCTTTCCATCCTCATTTTTATGGCCTCTCGAGAAACTTGTAAACCCTATGTCCCTTAGCAGTGTGGTCTCAGGCCAGAAGAATATCCATATATGTATATTTTTTATATATGCCTCTGCCTACCTCGTCTCCGCGCGCTCAGCCCTCCCTCCCGTCTGCTTGTGCGCCTGTTACTACAACACGCAAGCTCGAACCACTTCAGGCCTTTGGGCTGCTGTTCACTTTAGCTAGAACACTTGCTCCAGATTTCTTTTAACTCGTCGATGTTCGATGCATATTGCAGTTCCTTTCTAAGAAGTCAACATCTGGGGACTGCCCAGACCACTTCATCCAAAAGAGCGCACCTGTACCACTGCTTTTACTTTCTTTACCTTTCATTTTTTCCTAACGGTTATAACTTCCAGACCTCATTTGGCCACATGTTTGCCACCAAAAATGTAAAATCTTTTTTTTTTTTTTTTAAGAGACGGTCTCACTTTGTTGCCCACTGTAGAGTGCAGTGACGTCATCGCTCACAGCAACCTCCAGCTCTAGGGCTTAGGTGATTCTCTTGCCTCAGCGTCCTGAGTGGCTGGGACTACAGGCACCCACCACAACGATTGGCTATATTTTGTTTGCAGTTTCGCCAGGGCCAGGCTTGAATCCACCACTCTCGGTGTATGGGGCCTGCGCCCTACTCACTGAGCCACAGGCGCTGCCCAGAGTGTAAAATGGTTTTTTTGCAGTTTTGGCCAGGGCCAGGCTTGAACCCGCTACTCCCCAACCCCCACCCCCTGTATATGGGGCAGGCACCCTACTCCTTGAGCCACAGGCAAAGGCAGGGACGTTGTAACTTTTGCTTACTGCTTTATGTGTTTGGCGCAAAACAGTGCTCGCTAAATACTCTATCAAGAATATAGCTACCAACTATATAAAGTGTGCGGGTAAATACAGCTCAACACGTTAATGAAGATAGGCACTTCCATTGGGTTGATAGTACCCTAGAGAATTTTACCATTTATGAGCTCTGGGAAAACTGTGCTAACCCTCTTTCCCTGACTATCATTAGAAGATTAGCTTCCGGCTCGGCGCCTATGGCTCAACCGGCTAAGGCGCCAGCCACGTACACCTAAGGTGGCGGGTTCGAATCCCCAGCCCGACCCGCCAAACAACGATGACGGCTGCAACCAAAAAATGGCTGGGCGTTGTGGTGGGCACCTGTGGTCCCAGCTGCTTAGGAGGCGGAGGCGGGAGACTCGCTTGAGCCCAGGAGTTGGAGGTTGCTATGAGCTGTAATGCCACGGCACTCTGCCCAGGGGGACAGCTTGAGGCACTGTCTCAAAAAAAAAAAAAAAAGAAGATTAGCTTCCAAAATTATCAAATCCAGGGGTAGAAGCCGTCATCAACTGGGGCTCTTCCTTGACAATTGTCAAGTACTGCTACATTGCTTTTTTGTGTCTTTGGCCCTATTTTTTTTTTTCAGGCAAATGGATGTATGTGCCATCTTTTATGTTGCTAACAAAAGTCAGTGATTCAAATGGCTTTTTGTATTTAAGTTTCCAACTTAGAGTAACATGTGCTTCAAGACAAAAAGTGACATTTTTATACTAACCAGCACATTTGTCTATAAGTCTATACTAAGACTAGACACATAGAAACACAAGGATTCCCTACCTGGCCTATATACTTTTAGAGCCAAATTCTATTTATAATAACTTAACAAACATGGCTTTTTTTTTCTTTGAGACACAGTCTAACTCTGTCGCCCTGAGAGACTGAGGTGGGTGAATAAATAGCTTGAGCTCAGAAGTTAGAGACTAACCTGAGCAAAAGCAAGACCCTGTCTCTATTTTTAAAAATAGAAAAACTAGTCAGACCTCATAGTGCGAGGCTGTAGTTCCAGCTTACTCAAGAGGCTGAGGCAAGAGGATCACTTGAGCCTAAGAGTTTGAAGTTGCTGTGAGCTATGATGACACCACAGCACTCACTCTACCCAGGGTGACAGAGAGACTCTGTCTCAAAAAAATAAATAGGCTCAGCCCCTGTAGCTCAGCCGCTAGGGCGCCAGCCACATATACCACCAGGGCTGGCAGGTTCAAACCCAGCCCAAGCCTGCAAAACAACAATGACAACTACAACAAAAAAACAGCCAGGCATTGTGGCTGGGCACCTGTAGTCCCAGCTACTTGGGAGACTGAGGCAGGAGAATCACTTAAGCCCAAGAGTTTGAGGTTGCTGTGAGCTGTGATGCCACAGCGCACTATGGCCAGGGCAACATAGTTAGACTCTGTCTAAAATAAAATAAATAAATAATAAATCTCCTGCACACTAATCATGTAAGAGTCTGCTCCCTGGGAAACCCAACCGGTAACAGTATTCATATTTTTCTGTTGATAAAATGGATTGACTTGCTCATTTGAACCACAGAGCCTTTATATAGATATTTATTTAGAGTCAGAATCTTAATCTGTCACCCTGCGTAGGCTGCAATGGCATCATCATGCCTCACTGCTACCTCAATTCCTAGGCTCAAATGATCTTGCTGCCTCAGCCTCCCAAGTAGCTGGGTATACAGGCCCATGTAGACTGGCCCCACCTCACAGGTAGCTGGGACTACAGGCCCACCCCACCATGCCCCACTAGATTTCCTATTCTTAGTAGACACAGGTCTTTCTTACTCAGACTGGTCTTGAACTGAGCTCAAGTGATCTTCCCGCCTCAGCCTCCCAGAGTGCTAGGATTACAGTCGTGAGCCACTGTGCCCAACCTAAGTAAAGTATTTTAGTAGCAGAGCAGAGGAGTGCTTGGGAAAGGCATTTTATAATGGTTAGTATTTGAGTCACAGGATGATTTTGCTAAGCAGAGAGGTTATTGCATGAATAACTATGGGAATGGGAAAGAACTGCAAGTAACCCCAAGTGGTTTCACCACAGGGTGTTTGGAGTAATCCCTAAGGGATAAGGAGAAATGACTGGTTCATTGATGGTGAAGAGGATAGCCAAGAAAAGAAGGCTCCAGGCGTGGAAGTAGGTCTTAGCTGACTGAAAAGGATAGAAGCCCTTGAGATCTTCAATTATCCAAGAACAGGAAAGAAGAGTCTCTATGGATTTATACATTTGTCAACACCCATCGAACTGTTCAATGGACACATTTCATTGTACATAAATTATACCTCAATAAATTTTATTTTTTAAAAAAAGTCTCATTGCTCTTGGAAAAAGTAACCACTGCTGGCAAATGCCACTCCCTAATTGTCATATATATTCCTATATAGCAGGTGTCCTCAAACTTCGGCCCACGGGCCACATGTGGCCCGCCTGGGACATTTATCCAGCCCGCTGGGTGTTTTTGCCACCACTGCCTGTCCTGCTTAACAGCTGACTCGTCCAGGGCCTGCATTCCAGCCCTCCAATGGTCTGCCATTGAACTGGCCCCCTGTTTAAAAAGTTTGAGGACCCCTGCTATATAGCCTTTATTTTCATCTAGCAACAGAATGTTGATGGAAGATTTCAAGATCAACTAATTCAGCAGTTTGTGCAGTATCCTCTGAAGCACTGGCATTCCTTTTATATTCTTAGTCTTATCCCAGGATCCACTATTTTAACCAAATAAAAGAGGACCTGGGAGTGGGTATCCAGCAGACATTTCCCTCAGTCCCTCACAGGGCATTTAAAGAACATGTTTTGAAAGTCACTGATGTAGTTCGTTCATTCATTTTTTTCAACAAATATGCCAAATGTTGTACAAGATGCTAGAGGACAAAGCAAACAGACTCTACTCCTTGACAGCCTGGTCTAAGGAGGAAGGCTGACATTCAAGAAAATAGTCACATAATTACTGTACATAAATTCAAAACTGGTAGGTGCCATGCAAGAAAAGTGCAGGTCACTATGAGAATATGTCCTTATGGCCAAAAGCACATGTTCTAAAGTAGTTTGGAGGAAGTGACATCTAGGCTGTATCAGGATACAAACATTGTATCTATATCCCTGAATGTGTATAGAACAAATTCAATATTCAAGTTATACACTTTAAAATCACTTTTATTAATTTTAACAACATTGCTTTAGCTGCTGGCAGCTGCCCCATACCAAAACAAAACCATCATGAAAGCTACTCAACAACCACCATGTAATCCAGTATGTTTTTGTACTTGGAATATAGCTAAATTTTTGACATTACATAATCAAGCAAATAGCAGTACATACTACATTATTCAAAAAGACTATGTATTTTATTAAAAAATCAATTTGCAAGTGGGTTCAGCTTTATCAACAATCTCACTGACACATTCCACACTTCATGCTCTCAAAAAGTGCCTTGAAACTAAATCTAAGTTTTCTAGTTACTGACATTAATGAATACTAAGCCAGAGTTATAGGAATAGAAGTTTAACATTTTACAATATAAGCAGCAATAAGTTACTGATACCTGCTGACAAATTCCACTCAAACTAAATACATCCTTGATACATTCAAAAAAAGACATTTTTTTGTATTTTAATAGGCTAGTTATATTCTGCAGTGCAAAAGAAGTAACACCCTACCTTTCCTGAGCTGTAGGAAATTAACAACAATATTCCAACTACTATTCTCAATTTAAAATAGGCTCTTCATTATGTGAAGCCATGTCAAAACTATAGAATTAAACTTTGAAGAACTGAAAAGATTAGTCAGAGTTATGATATTTTAGAGTAACGGAAAAAGTTTCAAAGCAAAAGTATTTACAACACCACAGAGGACGCCATGGATCTGCATGTAGCACAAAGATAAACTAATGACTACTGACTGATCACAACTGTCCTTCTCTATCAAAAGTGTTACACTAAAAGACTTTACAGTAAGTATTTAGCATGAAATACACCAACATGTAGTATGTTATACATTTTAATATATACTCCCATAATGCCCACTAAGAAGGAATAAATTGGATAAAAGATGAAAAATCAAGAAAATAAACATGCTTTTAGGAATGTTTTTGCATGTGTATATATCAGAGGAAGTGAAAATGATTTCTCATTAGAACTCTCTGTATCCTCAAAATTACAAAGACCGAGTTTCTACTTCAATTTTTTCTTCTGCTTGTAGTTTATCTGGATCAATGTGAACAACTGGAGGTCGCAGGATAACTTCAGGTCCCCCACCATATATAGACTGCAGAAAATTCCACGTTTCTTCAGAAATCTGACCAGAATCTGCTCCTAAAATTATATAAAGAGAAGAATATTTGCAAATATTTTATATTTTTACTGCATATTTTATACTGCAAAACCTTTCATAGTATACCCCCAACCCCAGCATGAATCCTTGAAGGATAACTGAGAACTTTTGGAACATGAATCTGCAGACTACCAGCCTATATTGTTATAAGCTGCAACATATGGTCTGTTGTAAAGTTAGAGATGCTTTTTCCTAGCACGAAATCACCATTGCTATGCACCTGTTAAAACCTTTCCTCAAATAAAAATTAACATTGGCTGTTTTCCTCTATTTATACTGTGGACATATGAATTATACACATTTTTGAGCTGGGTAAAAAAGTACCATAGATGGCTACTGATGACACCATCCTACACACAGTGACAAATCACTATAGTAAAGGCTTAACTATGAGTCACACTTACCTTGCCTGAGCATCACATTACCACACTTAGTGACTGCAATTTTAGTATTGTCAATAGGTCCTGGAGGATCTAAGTCAAAAGGAAAAAAATATATATTAAAATGCACACTTTTCAAAGAAATGTATCAACTGCACAATTCTGTGCTTGAAATAATTGAGAACTGTACCTATATCATCAGATTAGTTATTTTTAACCAAATTATTACAGTCAACTCTTATCTTCTCCTGAGATTCTTCCCCTTTAAGTCTTAGTTTTCTCAAAATAGAAACAGGAAAGAAGATGAAAAAGGCTCTCTTACAACCACTGAAAGTCTAACAGAAATGATTTCTTAACTATCCATTTGGGAATTACAAATTACATGTCAAAACATGCCACTAATGTTAAAAAGTAACAATTACGTTGTAGTTAAAAAGAAATTATGTAATTCTTGATTTGTTTCAGATTATCATACTTAAATTATACAAGCAATAAAAGCAGTAGAAAAGAAAATGTCCAACTATATTTTTTAATTTAAGGAAAAAATTTTATTTTTCCCCTGAATACAAAAATACAGTGCATGTTCATTATCAAAAGCTGTAAAACAGCTAGTGGAGTAGTGTGCACTTATAGTTCTAGCCACTCACGAGGGGAGGCAGGAGGATTGCTAAAGCCCAAGAGTTCAAGGACAGCGTAGGTAACAGCAAGAACCTCTCTATTAGGCTCGCTGCCTGTGGCTCAGTGGCTAGGGTGCCAGTAACATACACCAGAGCTGGCATGTTCAAATCCAGCCCCGGCCTGCCAAAAAACAATGACAACTACAAGCAAAAAATAGCCAAGTGTTGTGGCAGGGATCTGTAGTCCCAGCTACCTGGGAGGCTGAGGCAAGAGAATCACTTAAGCCCAAGAGTTTGGGGTTGCTGTGGGCTGTGATGCCATAGTACTCTACCAAGGGTGACAAAGTGAGACTCTGTGTCTCACAAAAAAAAAAAAGAAGAAAGAAAGAAAGAAAAAAAACTATCTATTGAAAAGAAAAATGCTGGCTCGGCGCCTATAGCTCAACCGGCTAAGGTGCCAGCCACGTACACCTAAGGTGGCGGGTTTGAATCCCCAGCCCGGACCCGCCAAACAACAATGACGGCTGCAACCAAAAAATAGCCGGGCGTTGTGGCGGGCGCCTGTGGTCCCAGCTACTTGGGAGGCGGAGGCAGGAGACTCGCTTGAGCCCAGGAGTTGGAGGTTGCTGTGAGCTGTAATGCCACAGCACTCTACCCAGGGGGACAGCTTGGGGCTTTTTCTCAAAAAAAAAAAAAAAAGAAAAGAAAAATGCTGCAAAAAAGGAACAAAGAAGAAAAACTACTGTAATCTCACTACGGGACAGGACAACTTTTTTTAAAATTTTTTTGATACAGAGTCTCACTGTGTCACCCTCAGTAGAGTGCCATGGCATCACAGCTCACAGCAACCTCAAACTCTTGGGCTTAAGTGATTCTCTTGCCTCAGCCTCCTCAATAGCTGGGACTATAGGCACCTGCCACAGCACCGGGCTACTTTTTTGTTGTTGTTGTTTTAGTTGTCATTGTTGTTTGGCAGGCCCGGGCTGGGTTCAAACCCGCCAGCTCCAGTGTATGTGGCTGGCGCCCTAGCTGCTGAGCTACAGGCGCCTAGCCAGGAAAACTGTTTTAATATTGGTGTACTGTTTTTGTTTTTGCATAATATAATGTTTGCTTTTTAAAAAATACAAAAGAGCCAGGCGTGGTGGCTCATGCCATTAATCCTAGCACTCTGGGAGGTCGAAGCAGGTGTGTTGCCTGAGCTCAGGAGCTGAAGACCAACAACTGAGCAAGAGCAAGACTCCAGTCTCTAAAAACTTAGCCAGACATTGTGGTGGGCGCCTATAGTCCCAGCGACCTAGCTACTGGGGACGCTGAAGCAAGAGGACTGCTTGAGCCCAGGGGTGAGGTTGCTGTGAGTTATGATGCCATAGCACTCTACCGAGGGTGACAAAGTAAAACTCTATCTCAAAAAAAAAATTATAAATACAAAAGATTCAAACCATACAGATTGCATTCTTATTTTTCATATTACTAAATACTGTTATACAAAATTATTTTAAAAGTCCACATAGTAGGCCATCGTATTACTGACATTTAAACAAAGACTTAAGTAACCCCTATTGCTGTCTAGATTTTTAAAATTTTTTCAATATTAAGATCACAGACTAATTTTGTTCAGTTCTTTTACTCCTGCTATAAATATAATTCATAAAATAGGATTAAAATTTTTTTCAATTAGAATATACACTGTATTTTAATTTTTTTTTTAGAACAATCAAAATATAAACTATAAGGGCAGGGATCTTCTTCCCTATTATTCAAGGGTCAAATCCCAGATATCATAAAATAGGATTAAAATTTTTTTCAACAACCAGAATATAAACTAGAATATATTCTATATTTTAATTTTTAAAAAAACAACCAGAACATAAACTACAAGGGCAGGGATCTTTTACCCTATTATTCAATGGTCAAATCCCAAAGCATACAGATATTCAAGAAGTATTTGTCAAATGAAAAAAACACTTAGGGCGGTGCGTATGGCTCAGTGAGTAGGGCACCGGCCCCATATACCGAGGGTGATGGGTTCAAACCCAGCTCCGGCCTATCTGCAACAAAAAAATAGCCAGGCGTTGTGGCAGGTGCCTGTAGTCCCAGCTACTAAGGCAAGAGAATTGCCTAAGCCTAAGGAGTTGGAGGTTGCTGTAAGATGTGACTTCACAGCACTCTACTAAGAGTTAATAAGTGAAACTCTTGTCTCAAAAAAAAAAAAAAGAGAGAGAAAGAAAAAAACACTTAATTTTCAGTTCATCACTTACCTCCATCTTTACCCTTCACAAAACTTTCCCATTCTCTAAACCACTGCATACTGATGCAATAGAAAGTAGCTGGAGAGTCCTCCTCTTGGAATGCTCTATTGAGCTGCAGGAAGGAAAAAAATCAGTCATCTAATATCTGAAACTTGTTTGGTAGCAAAACAATACAATACTTCAGCACATGCTAAGGGCAATTTTTTTTTTTTTTGAGACAGAGCCTCAAGCTGGCCCCCTGGGTTGAGTGCTGTGGCATCACAGCTCACAGCAACCTCCAACTCCTGGGCTCAAATGAGTCTCCTGCCTCAGCCTCCCAAGTAGCTGGGACTACAGGCGCCCACCACAACACCCGGCTATTTTTTTTTTTTTTTGGTTGCAGCCGTCATTGTTGTTTAGGGGGCTGGGGCTGGATTCGAACCCGCCACCTTAGATGTACGTGGCTGGTGCCTTAGCCACTTGAGCCACAGGCGCTGAGCTGGGCAATTTCTCAAACACATAAAATGTCATATCTCAGGAAGATGTCCAATGATGCTAAGTTATCTTAGTACTAGAATACATGATATCATCTATTGATAAACAATTCTAGGTTATGTCTCAATATTTAACAAGTAAAATAAAAGTACATAAAAGAGGCATAAAGATTGGGTTAAGTGGCTCGGCGCCTGTGGCTCAAGCGGCTAAGGAACCAGCCACATACACCTACGGTGGCGGGTTCGAATCCAGACTGGGCCCGCCAAAGAACAATAATGGCGGCAACCAAAAAATAGCCAGGCGTTGTGGCAGACGCCTGTAGTCCCAGCTACTTGGGAGGCTGAGGCAGGAGACTCGCTTGAGCCCAGGAGTTGGAGGTTGCTGTGAGCAGTGAGGCCATGGCACTCTACCCAGGGGCTCAGCTTGTGACTCTGTCTCAAAAAAAAAAAAAAAAAAAGATTGGGTTAAGTGAAAGTCTTCAAAACAATAAATACTCTGCATATTCATTTAAAATCTAAGGTATAAGCTTTATTCAAATATTCTGTATCCACTGTCAACAATTTGCTATTACCAATACAATGTTGCAACTAATAATCTTATACATGTCATTTCACAAGCAATACCGACACACACACACACACACACACACACAGAAGGTGCCAAAAAAATGCATACACATTTTGAGAAAGGAAAAAATTACGTTAAAATTGTAATATTCAACATATACCAGTAACAAAAGATGAACACAAGTCACGTTAAGCACTCTTATAACTACAGGCATCAAATGTGACTTGAGTAAGTATTACAAATATAATAGTTTTTCCCTTTCTTAAAATGTGTAGACTTTTTTTTGTACTTTCTGTATAAAGTACGTTCTCAAAAGTGACAGGACGATCTCTGAACATGTTCCGTTCCCTCCTCCAGCCCTAAGGAATGAATAAGTAACTCAAACTAGACACAACACTACCAGAAATGAAAACCCTCAGGGGCATGAGGTTAGAGTTAGAAGAGAGTCACTCCAATGTCAATTCGTGTTAGCTCAGGTACCCGGGGCTACCACGGTTCTCAAACTTCAGGAGGTCTGCGTTTCCTATTTTCATTTTTAATAAACTTATATTTTTGCTCCAGTTAGCCAATCTGGATTCTACCACTTGTAATTAAAGAAGACTGACAGGTACAGAAAAAGAGGTCCAGGTAACAGAACTCATGTAGTGTATTAGGAATTTACAATCTAATTGTAGCAGTGTTTTCCGACTCCTAAAAATATTCCAGGATGGGCAACTTGATTCCCATGACATAGAAGACAACCAAATTATGTCATTACTCCTATCAAATATAACCAAAATCCTCTGGCCATCCCCATAGAGACTTATGTTATGTAACAACCCAGAATTACCCTCACGATCTGAATTCATTGTTTAATACTCTCTTCTTCCTTTTTCAACAGTGGTCACTGACCTCTTGTTATTCCCAAAACCAACCAGATATTTTTTTTTGGAGACAGAGTCTCACTTTGTCACCCTCAGTAGAGTGCCGTAATGTCATAACTCACAGCAATCTCAAACTCCTGGGCATAAGCAGTTCTCTTGCCCCAGCCTCCCAAGTAGCTGGGAGGTGCCTGCCACAACGCCGCTATTTTTAGATGCAAGGTCTCGCTCTGGCTCAGGCTGGTCTTGAACCTGGCCTCCCAACGCTGGGATCACAGGCACGAGCCACTTCGCCTGGCCTGGCTATCCTTTCTTTTTGCAGGTATCTGAATGACCATCTCCCTCACCACCTCCAAGTCTTTGTTTAAATGTCACCTTCTCTGGGTGGCGCCGGTGGCTCAGTGGGTAGGGCGCAAATCCCCTATAACAAGGGTGGAGGGTTCGAACCCGGCCCTGGTCAAACTGCAACAACAAAAAAACTAGCCGGGCCTTGTGGCACGCACCTGTGCTCTCAGTGCTCAGGAGGCTGAGGCAAGAGAATCACCTAAGCCCAGGAGTCAGAGGTTGCTGTGAGCTGTGTGACGCCACGGCACTGTACTGAGAGTGACAAAGTGAGACTCTGTCTCTACAAAAACATAAATGTCACCTTCTCGATGACGCTTATCTTGACCATCCCATTTAAAATTGCAGGCTGTACTCTTCCTTTCACTACTGTCCTCCTGATCCCTCTTACATACTCTGCTCAATATTTTCCTTTTCCACAGTACTCATCACCTTTTAATATATTACATAACTTATTTATCAAATGTAAGCTCTGCTAATACAGCAAAGATCTTACTGGAACACGAGGTATTTGCTGTAATAGAACAAGGTCAGGAAAAGGAAAATGCTGTGGCTGTCTATGATGGCTAACAAAGAAATCAAGGTCTGTCTGTCTCAAGGCATGGGGTTAAAGTTAGGAGTCTGTGATGTACAAATCATCCCTAGATGCTGACTTAGTAATATGCATTAAAGCCACATTATTATCAGGTTTGGACATTTATCTTTGGTGTTAGGAAGTTCCTTCTGTGTCTAAGTGGGTGCTTTTAAAAAGTTAGGTACACACAGTTGCACCATTAATTTAAAGAGGTGTCTTCTCTAATTCTGGAGAATTTCTCTAAAATGTTGCTCTAGAAGTATTTAATAGTTCTTCCCCTCTATTCTTTTGTAATACACTATATATTAGAAAAATATTAGACCCTATAGCTATCCAACATATCAAAACCTTTTTTCCTGGCTTGACGCCTTAGCTCAAGTAGCTAAGGTGCCAGCCACATACACCTGAGCTGGAGGGTTTGAATCCAGTCCGGGCCCGCCAAACAACGATGGCTATAAACAAAAAATAGCCGGGCATTGTGGGTGTGTGCCTGTAGTCCCAGTTACTTAGGAGGCACAGGCAGGAGAATCCCTTAAGCCCATGAGTTGGAGGGGGACAGCTTGAGGCTCTGTCCGAACAACAACAAAAAACAAACCCTTCTTCCTTCTTTCCATCTGCTTACCTTTCATGCCTCATGTTAGGAGAAATCTTTCTATTAAATCTTTAAGCACACTCATTTGCTTTCTAGCAATATTCTGATATTCAACCAACCCATCTACTGAGGATTTTTGTTTTGCTTTGGGGGACACAACATCTTTACACATCTCCCTGAGGATCAGTCATACTTCATGTGTCCACACTGACTGCCTTATCCAGCTTGCTGCCCGGTACAACGTAACAGGTGGAATGCTGAGGTCATCATCAGCATCTGCCACTTCCAAGCTCAAAGGCCATGTAGTCTTTTTTATTTTTGGAGACAGAGTCTCAAGCTGTCATCCTGGGTAGAGTGCCATGGCGTCATAACTCACAGCAACCTCAAACTCTTAGGCTCAAGCGATCCTCTTGCCTGTTTTTCTATTTTTAGAAGAGATGGGGGGTCTCACTTTGCTCAGGCTGGTCTCAAACTTGTGAGCTCAAGCAATCCACCTGCCTTGGCCTCCCGGAGGGCTGGATTACAGGCGTGAGCCACCACATCCAGTCTTCCTATAGCTTTCATTTGTTGCTTCTTGTAATTAAGAATGATCCTATGTTCTTTTTCAGGATTTTTAAATTTTATTTTTAATTGCTTTTTCAATTTCTCAGAAAATCAGTTTCCAATCCAAGGGCAGCTATTTTTGTACTCCAGTTTTGTTGTTGTTGTTGTTCTTGTTTTTTAATACTAATACATTTGCTTTCTTTAAAAAGGGGGGAGGTTCATGCCTATAATCCCAGCTACTCTCCAGCTCTTCCCTGAGACAGGAGGGTTGCCTGAGGCCAGGAATCTGAGACCAGCCTACACAACAAAGCAAAACCCTGTCTCTTACTTTACTTTTGAGACAGGGTCCCAAGTTGTTGCTCTGGGTAGAGTACCATGGCGTCATAACTCACAGCAACCTCTAACTCCTGGGCTCAAGTGATTCTCTTGCCTCAGTTTTTCTATTTTAAGTAGAGATGGGGTCCTGCTCTTACTCAGGCTGGTCTCGAACTCATGAGCTCAAGCAATCCACTTGCCTCGGCCTCCCAGAGTGCTAGGATTACAGGCATGAGCCACCATGTCTAGCAACTTAATTTTTATTAAAAAGATGGGGGGGAGGGGAATGGAGGAAGGGTTGAGTATATGTTATAGAATAATCATAGAATTGCATTTTTTAAAAAACAGCTTTATTAAGGTATAATCCACCCACTGTCAGTGTAAAGTTCGGTGGTTTTCTTTTTTTTTTTTTTGAGACAGAGCCTCAAGCTGTCCCCCTGGGTAGAGTGCCACGGC